ACACGGCTGGAGCCGCGCTGAGCCGGGCTCGGGGGCCGCGGCTCGGCCCCGCCGGTGCCTCCTGACGGTGCCCGGAGCCGGGGGGGCCGCGCCCGCCGCCGGAGCGCTGCCCTGTCACTTCGGGCTCCGCCGCAGCGACACGCTGAGTGACCCATCCCTTGACAGCGCTGCGGGCTTGTCCTGAGAAATCAGGGGGGCGGTGACGCGCGGCTCGCCCTTTGGGGCAGCAGGGGTTAGGCTGCAGACGGGTGTTAAGGCTGGAATGCCAAAATGCTGTAGGGATCACGTGGAAGGACGAGGTTCACTGGACGAGCTGCGGCCCTTCGCTGCCCAGAGGGCCCCGCGGGGCCGGGGCTTGGTGTGCTGGGCACTTGGCCTGCGCTGCACGCCGTGGTGCGAAGGGCACAGCCGGGCTTACCTGGGGCGGGGGACCCCCGCCTCTCCCACGGCCCATCCCGCACTCCGTGTGCGTACCTCTGGCTGGGAAGGGAATGCCACCCTCCTCAGGAGTGTGGCTGTCACACAGGGGCCGTGAACGTAGAAAACAGCAGCTGGTCACGATAGAGGGTGCGGGATGTGCCCAGGAGGGCAGGGCTGGGCCACGAGACACGGCTGATGCCACCTCGGCATCAGAGCTGCGGATGTGTTAGCTGACAGTAGCTCAGATGTTTCCCGTCCTTGTGTGGGAAAGATTTAATTGCTTTAATTTCTGGAGGGAAAGCAGGCTTGTTAACGTGGGCTGGTGCTGCTCTCACTTGAACTGTAGTGCCTGCAGTTTCTCAGTCAATTTCAGGAGCTCTATCAGAACTTCCCAGCCTGTTGCAAGTTTCCCATTGCAGAGTCTTTATGGTAGTTAGGGTAGGAAATAGCTGGGGGAAATTGCTTTATGTGGGTAAAATACCTTGAAAGGTGGCCGTTGTTTTTCTTGTGTTCTGATGGGCTTAAATTCTAACAGCAGAGGTCGGCAGTTGGTTGGGACTTTTTTAATACCATAGCTTTACCCTGATGAGTGTTCTTGTCAGAAAAACATTTCTTTTTCTCTAGTTGCTTTGCCTTTTGGCTTAGCAGAGTTATTTGTGGCAGACATAGCAGGAAACTGATCCAGATCGAAATGATCTTTGGTTTGGTCTCACCCTAATCGCTCCCCTGATACACATCACCAGGTAGAGGCCCTCAGGCATTGCAGGCAGTAGAAGGGAAGACAGAGAGGACAGTGAATGGTTGGAAACTACAGATGGGCTTCTAGTCACACTTTCAGAATTAAAATGCCTGTGTACTGCTACCTTTAGCTTGGTTTTGTGATGAAAGTATCAGTTGTGCCAGCTATGTGCCTGAATGCTCATTTTAGCTTTTTCTCTTTGCTATTCAAAACTAAAAGCAGAAAGTAAATTTTACTTGTTATTTTTCCCTTGTGGACTCTGGTACAAAAGAAATGAAGTTGTGTTGCAGATATCCAGAATTATTCCTTCCAGGAAAACTTTAATTTATTTTTTTAAATGTCTTTATTTAACTATCTTTGTTTTTTTTTTAATTGTGGAAGCTGGATTTTATAAGATCCTACAGTTTGGACTATACTTTCATGTTCAGATATCAATGTATCCTTTATAAATATGCAGCGTGGACCCAGCCTTATCCTCTTGTTTTGTTTGTTGCCTATACTTTGTGAAAATAGCCCTGATTTTATCTTGCTGCATCACTTAGAAGCATCATTCTCTCTCCAGCTTGTTTAATGACTCAGCTTGTTTTCCGCCTAAGTTGAGGTCATGTTTCTGGATGGCTTTTTGAAGAACAACTAACAGGTGCTGCATGCACTTCTGTAATACCTACTTTGTAGTTTTGCCTGGAATATGTAGGCTGGAAAAGATAGGTGGAGCTGAAAATGATGTTAAAGCTGGTTGAAACCACGGACTGAACTAATACCGTAGTGCACTTCAACAGCACCTCTTTCCATCACGAACATGTCTTCATCACCTGATGGACAAACGAGAACTTGTTATAGTCTCATAGGCAGGAGCACTGAATAGAAGACTTCGATAAAATAACAAGCAGGTTTGGGTTTTGGTGTGGTTGGGGTTTTTTTGAGTTGGTTTATGTGGTTGTTTTTTATTCCCTAACCAACCTTAAGTAGGCTATTTTGGTTAAGCCTTTATTGAAAACACAGAAGTCTTGATGTTTGTACAAACCATACAAAACAAGTAAGACTGGTAGTTGAAATCCCTTAGAGAGCAGCTGCTAACAGATGCTTAGAAAGGAGATCTTCCTTCCTATATTTTGGCAGTATACCAGAAGACTCTGGTTTAGCAGTTTCTTTGCAAGGCATTCTGTTTGGGTTACTTACTTGAAAGGAACTGACACATCTGTTTCCCCTCTCACACCTTCTGCCTCATGATTTTGCCTTTTGATTTAGTTGTTTTCAACCTGTTTCTACTTTCAGCATCCATTTTATCCTGTTGCAGTGATTTCCACAATTTCATGCTGCTTAATCCCAACCCCAGTGCAATTAATGCCTCGAACCACAAAATGCTCTCTTGTTCTCCTAACATGGAGTCATTATCTCCCTACACACTATCCTTTTTATCTTCATCGGATCAGTAGCTACTAAAAGCCAGTTTGTTACTGACTAGCACAGTATGTTTTTGAATTATAAAATATTGTCTGCTTCACTAATGTTTCCTTGCCTACCAGGAACATGGTTTGTACCACTGTCTCCTGTAAGTGCATGTTTCAACACGAACTTTCTTTTTTACAGCTAAGCCATTAGCAGGTTGCTCCCCTCAGGCATTGTTGTAACCATGATTTGTGTGTACATTTTTATCGAGTGTTCGTCCAGTTTCCTAATCTCTAATTTAGGACAGCAATCTATAAAAACAATACACAGATGTGGTGGTGGAGAGGACACCACCTGCACATTTCATGTTCTGTGGAGTACTGAAATATTGTTTTCACTGTGACTGCAGCCTAGGTTGTGTTCATATTTCTTTTTCTTTTTTTTCTTTTCTTCTTTTTCTTTGACACTCATTAGGAAATACTTAGGAATGAAAATTCTTGCTGATATTAAGTAAGAAGAGTGTGTATCTGGTGCATTAACGTGCGAAAGGAGCCCCTTTTAGGTGAGGATTTCCATTGAATCCCCACCATAAGACACTGAATTGTTTTACTCTACTGCCACCAGACTTCTCTGAAGCAGCTTGTCAATTCTTAAGGCTTTGCAGGGGTGTCTTGCATATCTTTCCCCTTTCTGGGGAAAACCAGAAAGAAAACTGACTAAACATAATTGTATTTTTTAAAGAGAGAAAGGAAATTTTGATCCTCTCCTTTCATGGTTGCTTGTGGAGGGGTCTAGCTTTGGTAATCCTTCAAGATCAGCCACAGATCTCTCTAAAATCACAGAATAGCTGGATGGAAGAGACCTTTAAAGGCCATCCTGTCCAGCCTCTCTGCCATCAACAGGGACATCTTCAGCTAGAACTGGTTTCTCAGAGTTCTGACCTTGAATGTTTCCAGGGATGGGGCATCCACCACCACCTCTCTGGGCGACCTGTGCCAGTGTTTCATGACCCTCATCATAAACAAAAAAATTAAATCTTATATTTAGTCTAAATCTGCCCTCTTTTATAAAGGCATAGAATTGTAGAGTGGTTTGAGAAGCTAGAATTTTAGACAGCAGTGCATGCTAACTGTAATTATTACATTGTATAGAATTATAACTATTTGAAAATTAATCTCGTAGCACTTACAGCATGATCTAAGAAAAGAACTGGGAACTGAGGAAGACAGGAAGAGAAAAGCATGGGTTATGGATTTGCTTTTTGGGCAGTGATAGTAAAAGGGGGCAGGGGCCTCAGGGTTCTCCTGCAGAGGGTGAAGGGAAGGAAGGGAGGCTTGTGATGGCTAGCTCTGTAGGATTGTTCAAGAAATGGTGTAGTGAGTTTATAAAAGGGTGTCATACCTTGCTGAAATGTGCTGTTTAGAAAGCCATACATCTAGGGAGACCAAAAAGCAGGAAAGGGTCCAGGTTACTTCACCTGGCTCAACTATCAGCTGTTTGGAGGGAGAGGAACATTGGCGAGATGCTGTCTCTGCCTTTCTTTCTCTCTTTTAAAAAGACTTGAAAAAAACATCAGCAAACCCAAACAAACAACCAAACCACCTCTAAAATTAAAGAGGCCTGCCAGAGGGCAAAATGAGGGGAAGATATTGACAGTTACAATATTATATAGACAGCAGGCACACAGCTGAGCTTTGTGGGAGAGAGAAAAGAAGCTGAACTGGAGCAGCTGGTATGAGCAGGGAATGTGTGCGGAGGGGAGAGACCGTGAAGGAAAAAGCATTACCTGACTTGGAAAAGAAATGTGAAGCACTGAGTGGAGCGGGAAAGTCAGCCAAAACTCCTGAGTGAGGAGCAGATCAGCTGTGAATGGGAGAAGGAGGTTATTTGACATGAAGTAAGAAGGTACAGGAATGCCAACACAGCTCTTTCAGAGAGGGCTTGTTGGAGAGATGAGGATGCTAGAGGAACACAGAATCCTTGGTATGCATGAAATGCACTTGCACTATGGTATGATTATTTGATTATTATTTTTATTCTTTTTCATCCATGCTGTCTTCCCTGGTGTTGTTGAGGTTTGAACAGCCCCTTCCCTCATCTTGCTGTTAGTACAATTGCACAGTGCTTTGCATTGAACAGAAGCATGGGAAATGATCCGTGTTTAGGGGGTAGAAGAGGCGGAAGCCCAGTCAAAATGTCTCCCTCTATTCTGGATGTGATCCAGAGGGACCGTGTAAACTAGGGCAACACTGTTAGGTGTGGATTGAGGAAGTGAGATTATGGCTAAACGTGATGAGTAATTAAGGAACTGAATCTTTAAATACTGCAAAAGCTTGGCCTGTTGAACTCTCTGGACTTGAGAGCTGTGCTTGAAACAAGTTCTAAGAGGTTTCCTGGACACATGTAGTCTTTTGCAGCTGTCCATGCTCTTTTGTGGGGTGAAATCATGGGAGCAGAAGAATGCCTGCTGTTCAACCCCCATTTTTTCCTGAAGGAGAGGCATGTCACACATACCTGTCAAACACTACATGTACATGGCTTTGTTTTGACGTGCTCTGGGTCAATAAATGACCAATTCTGCTGTATCAAATCTGTGTGTTACAGGATTCTGAGGCTGTAGTATCTTCAGACATCCCTTTGAATTGAAGCAGAGAAGCATCCCCCTCTCCCTCCCTGCCTCCTCCCCCTCAGGTTTCTGTTCTCTTCTAGCTCCCTGAGAATAGCACCTTGGTCTGGCCAAATAATACATTTGCTTGGGCAGGCTGTAACTTTGGGCAGAGAAAATAAACACCTCATCAGTGAAAAGCTGATAATTATTGGGAGCCTCCTGACCTTAATTATTTCTGCTCAGCCATGTCAGCATTCTCAGATGCTCCCACTTCTCTAAGTTGAAAACTACTTGGGTCCAGTGTGGGAAACCATCAGGGGACATCCCTGAATGGACAGCCAGGGACGTGAGAAGGCAAAGGAGGTAGCAGCAGGAGCTGTATGGGAGGGTGAATAGCAGAGAAAATCCATGGTTATTTGGAACCTTTGGTGATTTGGAAAACTGTGTTTTACTGATGAAAACATTAGAACATTCATTAATCTGCTAAATGATAGTTGAACTGAATTTTGGTTCTTACCACTTTGGGTTAGATTTGAACTGATGGCCTAGGGATGAAGTGTTCCAGCATTTCTAAGCTCTCTGACATATTCTTTTCTTACTAGGATCTTTTTCCTTTCTCTTTAACTGTGGGGGATACCAGTACATCTGGTACAGGCGCTAATGGATACAGATGATCCCAACTGGGAAGATGAAAATGCTCACCCTTCAGCCAGATCAGCAAGGGGCAGACAGAGTGCTGTAGTTCTGGAATGTGGAGGGACTGTTGTTTTGATTTTTCCCAGTCAGAGCTAATGCAAACAGACTTGGATCAGCCTGAATGATCATACCTGTACCATAACTTGCAACTGGAAAAAAGCTACTGTTTTGTCAAAGAGACCTATTAGGAGAAGCTTGAGAGAAAGCTGATGTATTTGTTTATTTTTGTATATATTGAGTTATGCTTGCTTTGCAAGAAGCTAAATGTAGATCTCAAGCTATTTTGTCTTAATTAATAGAAGTATGTCGCTGTAAGGACACCTCACAAAACACTGCAGATGACCTTTGTGGCACTTCACAGAAATTTTGGTGATAAAATTGGCAATGTCTTTCAAATACTCTTTTGAAAGACAGCAGTGAAACAGGTGATTTCTCATGGCCTTTCTTCTCATGTGTCTGGAGCTGCCCTGTTTGAGATTCTCTGTCATTCTCCATGTAACAGAGTTATTCTGAAAGCCAATGTATGTACTGTAGTAACTTTAGTACGTGGATTATATCACAACTAAAATTATCTCAGCTTCAACAAAGTCCTAACTGTGCTTTTATGTTCTGAAGTACCCGAGTAATGGCTGACAGCCCTCTGTTTTTGAAGGGCAAGTGGAGGTAGCCACAGTCCCCCTGCACAATGTGAGACCAAGTGAGCTTGTGCTGTGAGAGACCCTTGAGTTCTCTGTGCCTCCTTGGGGCTTTTGGTGATCCTCAGTCTTGAGGTAGCCACAGGCACCTCCTGTTCTCCACAGGCTCTATCTTTCCCCTTCATTGGAGGAGTAGAACTTTTTCAGAAGGTGGCTAAAAATTCCCTCACTAGTTTAACCATGTCCCCCAAGACAAGATTCCTTTGTGTAACTAGACTAAAAGGGAGAAGAAACCTAGGAAACTCGACTAATTCCATCAGCAAGCATCCAAGATGTATTGCTGTCATCACTTGACCTGGATTTCTGTAGTGTGATCTTTGCAGGACTTACCAAATACTAGCATATTAAATGTCCATTGGAATATCTCCTCATCCTCTTTCACCTACTTAAGGCTTCTTACATGATCTGTGATAACAATATTTTCTTGGTTTCCTTGGATTAAGGGAGGAGACAGCCTTGCCAGTTTTGAAGAATATTTCAAGCTTTCTAGATTTTCATTTGCATACAAATCCAGAGCTTGCACCTAAAGTGAGTTCCTGATTCTTTGCTTGTCTTTTCCTTCAAAGCTGGGTGAAGCAGCCAGCCATTTGACTTTGATAACAGTGTATCAGCCAGCCTGAAATACATGAGGAATTCTTAAATAACAGCAAAAATTCTATTCAGAACTGTACTTTCCTTAAGCATGTTGCTGCTTAGTGTGTTTTGTGACCAGTCTAACTGGAGGCATAACTTTTTTTCTACCTCAAGACAGTGAGTGATGAGACATCAGACTGTCTGGAGGAACAGCTGCACCTCATCTGCATTCTCACTGCTGCCTTTGAACTGAAGGATGGCTGCCATTTTCCCTTCTTCCCCAGCAGTAACACTGGGTTTAGTTGAGTGTGAACAAATCTCAGCACACTGAGATCTGATCTCTTGTCTAATCTACTTAATAGCCTTTACTGGTCTTAGGAAATACATGGACACATGTTGGTCAATTTGTGCTGCAGGAGAGGAGTTGCAGAGGTGTAGTAGTACCACAGCTGAGCAGTGAGTGGAGTGGGAAAGGATTCAGCTTTGTGACTGCTTGTGGGTGTTTTGCTTGTTTAACCTGCAAGTTGCATTTCAAGCATTTTTACCTGATTTTGTTTTCATGAACAGCACTTCTGAATGCTAAGGGTACCTCTGGAAACTACATGAGGCAAAAATGTTGCCTGTGCTTTGTTCCAAAGGTGTTTTAAATAATTTTTAACGAAACCTAATTCCTAGACAAAGCCAGACTGACTGCATATGAAAATACTGCTTTTGAAAGGAATGACTGCAGAACAGTTCCTTTGAACTGAAAAGTGGTGCTAATGTTACAACTTGGTTTGAAAATGATGATGTATATTACATAGACAGTTTCTCCTTTATATTTAGTGAATTACTTAAGTTTTTTAAGCCCCGTCCAAAGTGCCTATGTAGTCAATTTTTGTGTGTTGGAAAAAATATCTTTCCCTAAAGGCTGATGTCTTTATTTAGTAAAAAAACTTAGTGGGTTTTTTTATATCTATATGTTATACATAGGTGCAAATAATCTAGGTCATCTAAGTTTGTCTGTCACACAAACTGCTGAAAGCTTTAGTAAGTGCATTGACACTGCTTTCTTTTTAAAGATTATTTTTATTTTTATAACATTTTTCAGCACAAAGAGTGCAAATAATTACAGAAATTCTGTGGGTTTAAGGTAGAAAATAAAGTCAGTTGACACAGAAGAGGGGCTAAAGGTTTGGGTTTGGTTTTGTTTAAATAAATAGAAGAATCTGTGTTCCACTGGTGTATCTGGAATAGTTCATTACAGTAGTTACTACAATCCATGTGGAAATTAGTGTTTGGTTTCCCCATTAATTAAGTAACAAATAGCACAGTATAGAACAGTTTTGTAGTGAACATTATTTTACCTTTAATGAAACAGATTATCACCTAAGAAATTGGGAACTATGTGGTGACCTTTTATGTGAATCTCTTTCAGGCACCTTTTTGGGCATACATCCTGGGTGCTCTAGGACTTTTTATCTACCAGTCTTTGGATGCCATTGATGGGAAGCAAGCCAGAAGAACAAACAGTAGTTCTCCTCTCGGAGAACTCTTTGATCATGGTTGCGACTCTATTTCCACAGGTAGCCTTAACTTACTGTCACCCATCCTAGTTTATAAAAGTTACCTGCTTTCCGGACCAGCTGATTAATCACAGAATTGTTGAAGTTAAAAAGGACCTCTGGAGATAATCCAGTCCAAATCCCTTCTTGGAACAGGGTCTTCTAGGATAACTTCACCATCTCCTGACCTTTGCATCCCTGGCCAGTAATTTGGGGTATTTTAGAAGTTCCTTTGGCATATGTTGGGTAAGATGTATTCTGCTCTTACTTAACTGTGCATCTTCATGTAATCCACTTTCAGAGTAAGGTGCCAAAATACCAGTTTGGTAATAGGGCAATCCAGCCTGGCACTGAGGAGAAGGGTAATTTATATTCCTTAGAAGAAGTAGTTTTAAAAAAGTTCTGAGTCCTTAAAAAGTAAGCCTTTCTCAGTTTCACTTTCCATAACTGAGCTGCTATTGGTGCCAATGCCTGTAGTTCTTCTGTAAAGCTCAATAGCTGAAACAGTTGCTAAGATCAGGTATATTCTTTATGTCTCACTTCCCAGAGAAGAGCAGCTGCCTGCCTCCCTAAGCTTGGCCCTTCAGCAGAAGTTGTCGGTGTTGTAAAGAACATGAGATGACAAGGCCAGGAGGAGAGAGAACAACCACTGTAGGATAGAGGGCAGGGCCCTGCCTTGGCAGAAAAGGAGGCCTGTGTTTTGGTCTCTCCTGCCAGGATTGCCCCTGAGGGTCAACTACTCAGAAAAGTCAGTCATAGCATTATTTTTTTAGAGTGATGTAAAATGTCCTGTGTTTTTTTAATTTATTTTTTTAATTTCTCTTAACTTCAAGCAAAGAGGGTATATGACTAACATATTCATTTCTGCTTTTCAGTATTTGTTGTCCTTGGATCCTGCATAGCAATCCGACTAGGAACAAATCCTGACTGGTTGTTTTTCTGTTGTTTTGTGGGACTGTTCATGTTCTATTCTGCTCACTGGCAGACATACGTATCAGGCATGCTAAGGTTTGGAAAGTAAGTAGGTATCTTTAGAAGTATATATGACTTAACATCTGAGACTGCTAGCTTCTTGATTTCAGTTTCTTCTTGGTTTATTCCCTGCTTTCTCTTCCTCTCACCTTCTTTCTCATCTCCCTTCCAATCTAGCATATTAGTGTTTTACCTGACAAGAACTTGAAACTCTGCATAATACCAAGGACTTGTTCTTTTAGCAGCTGATTTTAGCTCTGTATATTTTGTTTGCATGCATTTGGCTCTTTTGTCTGCATATTTGTTGTCAGAACCCATACTAGCACTGTGCAGGCTCAGGGCAGAGAGCTCTTGTTTACATTGCAGACAAGTGCCCTGTGTAGGAGTAAGGAAAGAGCAAGCATCTGGGTACCTCCCTTTGTAATCTCACAGCCACAGAACCATTTCAGCCCCAGGGGACTCTAAATCATATGCATTTTAGAGAAATTCCCCTGCCAATGGGTTTCCCTTTCAAAGACATCTTCAGTCTTCCTTGGAATGAACTCTCCACACCCACTGCATCCTCAAAGAGTTCCACAGGTCTATGGCAATGCTTGAAGAATTACTCCACGTTTGAGGGCCTTTTTTTAATCTGGCTCATATTTGCTTTGATGTTCTTTAGGTTTTGTGTTATGTCAGTTACAGAGACTGCTGTGATGCTGTTCATGACTTGATAGAATTTTTATCTGTTTCACTGCAGCATAGGAGCAGAAGTCATGACATTCATGTAGAAGACAATCATTTCAGTTCAACTGCTGATAGTGTGGGGATTGATGCACCCTCCTATAGCCGTGGTAGTGCCTGGCCGTGGCCTTTCGCTGGTTTTAAGCAATGAGCTTCACTTTAGTATAATTACTTCTGAGAAGAGGAAAAGATCTGAGACTTATCTGGCAGCAGAACTGAAAATAAGTGGTACATGAAGACTGTCCTGCTAATCCCAGTCACTTGCTAAATCACCTCTTCATGGTCCTACTTAGCTCTGCCCTGCAAAAAGTGCTTTAGCAAATCAGCAGGCACACAGGCTGGTGACCAGCTATCCCTGCACACTGCATCAAATGGAGCTGTCTCTGATGTTGATAAGAGCTCATTGTTATTTGCTGGTAATGCATTTTACCACACAAACGGTAATTCCTCTGCTTGCCTGCACATCCTATTGTTTTTAAAGGACATCTTGTGCTGTAAACAAAAATAGGTGCTTTACAGTGATGGCTGAAATAGTTTCTCTCCATGACAGTGGGCTGCTCTGAAGGGAGGTGGACTAGGCCATGAGCTCTGGCCTTTTGCAGACATGATTGCTTTTCTATACCTTTTATTCTTGCAAAAAGCACGAGAATGATTTCCCCACATTGGGAAGGCACTTTACCACATAAAGATTTTGTTAAAAACTTGGTGACTTCTACTTTAACATAATGATAGTGCATAGTACAAACAGCTCAGAATGGCCTGGTGTTCCATGGTTATTGTTTAAAGTTAAACAGACACAACTTTTCCACAAGATAACCTATTTCTGTCCAGTGAAAAGAGGTCACAGTTTTTTTCAAGGCTCCCAATTTTGTTTCTCTTAAACATAGAAGTGTGAAGAAGGCATTAGTATAGTTCTCTAAATATGATGGTACATAATAAGATGGATGGAAGTTTTCACTGATGCTATTTCTCAATTAGCAGCACTCAATTTTAGAAATAAATCACAAATGAGATATTCCTAGTGCTGATGGCCAGGAAGGATCAGAGAGCTGAATAATGTGACATTGTCAGGTTGTGGAATACTGTACAGTATCTGAGTAAAGTCTGGACTCTGGACTCTGATTTGGGTTCTGTTGCTACCAACAGTCTGAGCTGCTGTAAAATTAAGTATTAAACTTTGGCGCAACTTTAAGTCTGAGCCTTGTCCCACCACCAGCAACAACAAAGGCAATGCACATTAGAAATCCTGGTGTTAATAGTACAGCATGCAGCCTCTGAACACTTGCACGTGGGTACTTTTGCATAAGGTAACCAGCAAGTTCAGGAATGGCTGGGTGGATGCAACACTTCATCCTTGGCAGAGAAGGAAGAGCCCATTCCCAGCCCCACTTTCCTGTGACACTCTGTCATTGGACCTCAAGCCACTTCATGGAATGGGCAGAAGGTGAAAAGCCTACACTGGATGGGCAAACTGGACTGGTTCACCTTACAGTCCAATGAGCACTTCAGCAAATAAAACTGAGGGAATACAACACCTTAGGAAGAAAAGGACCCCCCCATTCTCTTGGCTTTAAGAGGTGATGAGGACCTCAGCTTATCATCTAACCGCAGTTTAAACTCTGGATCTTCTAAAAGTCACAAGATCGTGATGAAATTTATCATATTTTATCACCATCTTTCTGATGAAAGAAAAGAGTTTTGACTGAAATTATCAAGTACAGATAAATGTTTTCCATTACCAAAGAGATGATTGCTATCTCCTTTTAAAAATCCACTGTTTCCTATGCAGACAGGTCATGTGCTAAGTAAGTAGCAATACACATCGGTCATAATACCTTAAAACAGCAAATTTATTCCAACTCCTAAAAGACATCTTGAACGTTCATTACCACTGTTTTCTGGTAACTTTAGTATGAAGATAAGGTACCTGCCTCAAAAATTTTGGTACCACAGAAATTACCTTTGATATGCACTTTTTTTTTGGTCATTATTTTAATTATTTATGTTAAAGCTTAAAAAGTACTAATTTTTTCTGAAGCCTTGGCTTCATGTGACGTTTCATCAATTAAATACAACAATCAAGAGTTGTCTATTTTGTCTGAGAACACAAGAAGGTGAAATATGGAGTCTGGACTTCATAGGGCATACAAGGCCGCCTTTCCTAAAACAGCTTTTATGGAGGAAAGCATGATAGCAATTATATGTCCTCAGAAATATGACAAATGTTTACCTATCCACTGACTCAGTCCTCCCTTGTTTTGCAGGCTTTATCTGTCAAGTTTTTATTATGTGAAACTTAAAGAAATCCCTTCTTTCCTAGCCTGCTTGTTATAGTCTCTGCTTTTATATGCTGTGCTTTTAATGGAAATGTTTGATTGCGTTTACTATGAGCTTACCTTAAACCTTGATTTGATCACATCAACAAGTCTGTGAGTTTGTACGGAATTCTCAAATAGTTAACAATGTATTCATTAGAGTCCCCTTTTAAAATTACATGTACCTTGCTCCAGAAAAGGAGTATAGCTTTAATTTTAAATCTTAGCCAGAGATGTGTGCCTCCATATAGAGTAGCTTTCTCCATCAAGGAAAGTAATATTCTATATATAATTTGAACAACAGTTACTGAGGGTTTTATTCCCCCCTCTGCTCCACACACATTTTGTACTTACAGCAAAAAGTCTTAGAACTAAATCTTTTTGTCCCTTCCACAGAATTGATGTAACTGAAGTTCAGATCGCCATAACAATGCTGCTCTTGATATCTGCTTATGGAGGAGCAGCAATATGGGACTATAAGGTGAGTGTGTTAGGTGCTGAATTCCTGTTGAGTATTCTTGATAAGTGTCCACAGTTCCTGTGGTATTTGAAGCTGCTCTGTGCAGGTACCATCAACACCTACTAGTTGTGTAATGTTGTTTTAGATTATTGTGTAAGTGTAGGTTATTTTAATGTCATAGTTAACTTAGATCTATTGGTGTGACTCCGGGTGCAGATTTATAGCTACACAGAGGAAAAAAGACCCCCATCTGCCACATATAAACTTCTGATCTGGAGCTAGTACTCAACATATACTTAAGCTTTAGCAAATAGTTCTTGTCCTGGTTTTACATGTCTTGTATATTTTATTGTAAGGCATACATTTCAGTTAAACATTTTATCTTAAAATTTAAGGATTAAATTAAAGGATCTAATGAAACCATGGGATGAAGCCAGGGGTTTTGGTTAAGTTATCCATATTTGTATCAATGCAGATGTACTGATTTTTAAGAACTATGTCACAGTCATGTAAATATTTCTATTTAAAGCATTGTTTTCTGTCCCAAAACTTTTCCTTATCTCTGTTTTTCATTCTGACCTTTAAAGATGAACTTTAGTGGACAGTATCAAAAGATCTTCAGCCTTTTTAGGGCCTTTACTCAGAAATTTATAGTTCTGACTGGTTATAGTGCAAAGAGCTGAGACTTACTTTTCCATACTATTGATAACCAATAGAAATTAACCTAAATATAAACCACCAAGAAATGAAAACTAGTTCAAAACTTTACTCAGCAATTAGTGAATGTTCAGCTAAACTTCATTTCCTTTCCCCAGTCTTTTTTTCCTATTTTCAAAAAGCTTGTTTTCATGCTGGAAAAAAAGTACTTGCATTAAACTTAAATTAAAATTATTTTTTTCCTCACTATCACCCTACTATCTGTGGTAGTTATGCTGTATCTCAAAAAACTATATATTCAAAAAAATATAGTAAATAGTTTCTGTTTATTACTTCTTTTTTTTTAATCCTCTGCTGCCTTTGGAAGTTTCCTTGAAACTGCAATTGATTCCAAAATGTAACTGTTTAATTGAAATTTATATCTGGAGACTACTCATGATAGTCTCATGATATGCAAAGATACAGCATACAAATAACGTGCCAAAGCACACAGCAGGCAGATGGTGTTTGTGTTTCCTGTGGATCAGTGTTGTTTCATCCACTGGAATAGAAGGAACTATCCCTCTTCCTGCTCCCATATCATGGTGATTGATGGCAGTAGTCTGTGTCATGTTCTTGCTTATGTGGTGAAAATATTTGAAGAACATGCGAAGGAGGAGCAGAGTAAGATCTAGCTGAATTTCAAGAACAGAACTTAAATACTCAGTGGTGGAGTTTAAGCATTACAAAAGATACTTGTTTTCTTAATAAGGAAACAAACTTTAAACACTGTTGTGCTGAGCTTGTTCCCAGGAAAGTGAGGGTTCAAATAAAACATTTGTTTAGTAGGTAAAAGTGGCTGCTTTAATCACTCCTTAAAAAAGGTGTTGTGTGTTTAACTTTTATCTTTCTCTTGTTTTGTTGTGGGTTTTTTTTTTCTTTTTTTTGTTTTGGTTTTGTTTCTTTTTTTGTTCTGCTAAGGTCCCTTTGCTGGGCTTAGAACTGAAGTTCTTTGCCGTTATTGGCATCCTGTGTGGAACAGCACTTTCTTTTTTCAATTACTTCCGTGTTATCTTTGGTGGAGGGGTTGGAAAGAATGGATCTACAATAGCGGTAAGTTGCTCTAAAAATACAAATTTATGCCCCTAATTTATTGTGTTTCAGATGGTCCATAAGGGTTTTATTTGTTTAAGCATTTAAGCAGACAGGCATGTGAACGTTAGATGGCTAAAGCAAAATTCATTATCTACCTTCTGTCACTGTTACTGGATTTCTTCTATCTTCGGTAGTAGTCACTGCAAAGGGTACTAAGAGCAGTGGAGTAATGCTAATGGATTTTGACAAGTTTTGACAACTTTGGTTTTGTTTAATAGGATTTACAATACGTATAAAAATTGGACTTTACCATATGACTGAAGTTTAAGACAGATTTTCCATCCCTTTACATCTTAGGGAACAAGTGTTCTTTCACCAGGCCTGCACATTGGACTGCTTATCGCTCTGGCCATTACAATTTATAAAAAGTCTACAACTCAGCTGTTTGAAAAACATTCTTGCCTGTATGTCTTGACATTTGGGCTTGTGAATGCCAAAATCTCACAGAAGCTGGTGGTAAGTCAGTCCCAAACCTCCTAAAACTAAACTGGTTTTTGGCTTAACACTTACTGGATCAGGGGGCACTGTTTTCCTAGTTTGCTTTTCTGTATTACCAGATTCATTGTGATCAAGAATCTGAACCGGACTCGGGGTTCCACAGAGAGATTGTATGAGACACTGATTCAAACATGTATTTGCTGTTGAATGGGCTTGTTTAAGTTATTCCTAGAGATGCACTTTCTGTCATTAACATCCTAACTGTGATCTCTTAAGCCTTACTAACAGTGCTGTGACTTCTCATTTAATTACCTGAAATGAGAATTTGCTATGATCATTAAAATGAAGAGAGAAACTCTTCTGTCTCTATTCTGTCTTCTCAGTCTTTGCTTCTTGTACATAAAACACTCCTCAGTGGATTAAAAAAAAGTTGCCTTACTACATATTTGCTATCATCAGTAATCCAGCCAGGTGCTTCTTTATCTCCAAGGATGACATTTTTCAAACACTAGAAAATAGGTATTCTACAGACTTCCTTACTCTACAGTGAGAACAAGTGTTGCCACCTAAGGAAAGGTCTGCTTCCTAGTTAACTTTTGGCTAGGAAGAGCCAAAATTTTCAAGTTGGACTTGAAAACAATATTTCAAGTGGATAGAATTTGTTTTCAGTAATATACTTACAGTGTTACCATTTGAATACAGTGCTGGAAAACTAGAGATTGGAACCCCTGCAGACAGTTAAAATGCATGGGTATAGATGCAACTTCCAAGAGGACATTGCTGGGCAAGGATGTGATGCCTGTTTGTTGGTAGTTACACCAATCTTGCAGGGATGCAATTTTTAATTTTCTTTTTTTTAAACATAGGTGGCTCACATGACAAAAAGTGAAATTTCTCTTCAGGATTCTGCATTTATTGGGCCAGGACTTCTGTTTTTGGACCAGTACTTCAACAGTTTCATTGATGAATATATTGTTCTGTGGATAGCATTGGTAAGTGTTTTATACTTTTTGTATGGACTGTGCTTTAAGGAATGTATTTATAATTGTCCCTGTCATTCTGCTCTGCCATTTCTGACTTGCTCACATTTCTGCTGTAACTGCAGAGTTCTAGGAAACCATGTAAATATGTTTTTGGGAGCTGACTGGTTTGCTTTCCTTGGAATAGAGATGTGAAAGTAAATTTATCCAGCTTTCCTGAAATTATGCTTTAGTCCATGTGGGTTTTTTAAAGTCATTCTATGAACTGCAGATGAATTTTTTTTTATCAGATCTTGTGCTTAGTGCTGTTGGGGTTTTGTGATGCTTTTATTTTTAATTCTAAACTAGACTACTCTGTAGCTGTATGTTACAATGATGTATGTATGTTAGGCTTGTCACTTGGATAAATTCTGATTAAAGTATAGCATATTTATAGTAGGGACAATTAAAAAAATATATTTTTTAACCTGTTCTGTTTTGTTCTTTTGAAGTTCATATCCTTGTTTGATATGCTGAGATATGCCTGTGGTGTATGCCTACAGATTGCCGCTCATCTTCATATACATGTCTTCAGAATTTCATCTCATCAAGCTCCTGAGCAGGTTCAAAACCATAATGATTGATGAAATAGGTCAAGAACAAGAGAAGAAGCAGTTAGGGGAATGATGCAGCCTCTCTGTTTTTTGGGAAGACAGATTAAGCTTTTGAAGAAAACAATTTTATGGGAAAGTTCACTGTATTTCAGACATTACCAGATGTTAGAATTAGTAGATACAAAGTTCTGCAGATGCTGTTGTACTTTTGCACTAGTACATATTTCCCTGTTTCAGACCACAAATACTACATTTAAAAATGTTGCCATTTCTTGTTAGGTAACTTTAATTCTGTACTTCTCTTCTGATGAATGTAGATGCAAACCAAGGTGCTTCCAGAATTCAAAGAGGAGTTTCATGTTTCCCTAACCCAATTGTCTAACCTTGTAGCATTAGTTTCTAAAGTTTTGTTGGAACTGCTTTGAAGTGGTTGTCAGATATACCAATGAATTCAATCCTGCATTATTAAGACTGGTAAAGTGAGGCAGCCATTAGGTAAAAATCATTCAGTCTCTCTCCTGGTACTTCTAAGGAACAAGCTGTCAGAGCAGTAGGTAAAGGAAGTACAGCTCAGGAAAATTTTCTTCTACTTCAAAGTATGTTACGAGTGCCTTTAGAATTCATGCATTCTCTAGTGTCCAAGTACATAACCTACTGCTACCACATAAAACTTTAGCTTGCACTTTCTTTCAAGGCCAGTTTCTGGTTTTGTGGTCATAGTAAGGTTAGTCTCATTGTACTTCATCGTTATCTAGACTACAAGTAACTGTGTAAGGAGAGGACTCTAACTTCAGGCACCCTAACTTGTATCTGTAAGCCTATGCAAATGAAGGACAAAGTTCATTGATAAACTTCAATGCCTGTGGCTCCAGCACTGCAGCCCAGCCGTCTGTATTTCCTTCTGTGGTGTTTTTGCTGTGTTCACTTACCTAACAATTGATTCTATTGTCTCATAGCTACCGCTGTACTCTATCCAAACAAAAGAGCACAAAACTGAATCATAATGTAAAACTCTCCAAAACAGGAACTCAGGCCCAATATCAGCTTCTCTCTTCCTTTAAGAACACTGTTATCCACTGGGTAACATAATATGTCTAAGGGCTGTTGCCATTATAGAAGAGCTGAATTAACTTGTTATCTGTATGAAAAAATGATTACTTGCACACAAACCCTATAAGCTTAAGCTCCTTTCAAGAGGAGCATTTGACGTCAAAAACATTTGACGATCTTTTATGTAAAAAGATGTCGAATTTAAGTGTGCATTACTCCTTCCAGCTGCTGATACGTACCTGAGCTTCCAAGTTAATGAAGTCCTTCCTGAGTTATCCAATAAAGAATTCCATGGTTTGTTTTAAAAATACTACCACTGCATCTTCCTACCTGCTTATTAATTCAAAAATACTTCCTGAGGTGTTCAGGGAGCTTTTAAAGTGGTGTATTGTCTGCTAGTTTGGAGGGAATAAAATAGCATCTACCAGCCTCCTGCCTAAGAAGAATATAATGAACCTTTTGAGCGATAACTGTAAGAGTTACTGCCAAACAACTACACCCCAAAATGACTAATATCAATTCAGAATGAATCCTACTACTCCTGTTTGAGGCTGGAAATGACACAGCCTCTGCATATGAATTTAGCCTGAATCCAGGCCATGGTCAAATAGAAAGGAAGATAATGACCATTTTACTTTGGCTGAATACTGTAAGCAAATTAACCTCCTGATGAAAAGACACAAGCAACATCTTTAGAGTGAAATGAGTGGGTTCTCCACAGTGGTCAAAACTGTGTCCTGGCATAGTAGGTACAAGTAGTTTTGAGGATATGATTGAGGTGTGTGGATAATAGGAAACGAATGCAGAAGTCACTCGGAAAACCAGAACCATGACTGAATAGTAACAAATAAAACCAAAACCAGGAGGTAATGCTAACAAATAACCACCTGCTGAAGATCTGAAGCAGAACCTGTCACCTATTTCATAGACTCCTCTAACTGTCCTTAGAGGGCAGAGACTCAGTAGTTACAAATCAGCATTGTTACTGGTTACCCATGAGAGGCCCATACCGCTTCAGTGTAGCAGTATAACATCCATGTTTGCTGAATTGTCCTGAATTTTTCATTGTCCTGAATCCTAGCAGAGGCAGAACAAGAGGTTCTGTACGCGTTACAACCAAATAGCTGAAGTTACTGCAAGTTAGCCATCACCAATCTGGCTTCCAGGCCTGGAGAACCATCATCAAATGACTTGACTCTGACCTAAAAAATGCTAGTAGGCTGAGAAGAAAAATATGGTTTTGAAACACAGTGTTGTGATAACATCACATTTTGTGTGTGTGGGTGTGTGGATGGTTTTTGTTTTATCTACTTTTGTACTAAATCAAAGCATTAAATATGTTGGCAACTACCTAATTTTAAAAGGCAGATATTCAGGTGTAATGGTTTTCTGTAAAAACAAACTGCATGCACACTAAGCCAATGGTTTAGTTTGTACTTATTTACTGTAGTGAGAGACATGAAAGATAAATGCTTTACCCTTAAAACACAGGCCTCCCTAAATTTTTAGTCATTTGGAATAGCAAAAAATAATATTCCATCTCAAAGGCTTGTAATAGCCTGTACTAAATAAATGAGGTAGATGTCTTCTAGCAGTGGTTCTACAAAATGTAGACCCCAAAATGAATAATGTTTAATTATTGTTACTTGAGCAGATACATTAAATTCATCATTTGACTTAAAAAAAAAAACGTTTTCTGGATGAATTACAGCAGTTCATAAATCTCTTACTAATACAAAGATAGTTCAGTGTCTAGACTAACAAAAAAGTTAACAAAATTTACTTTAATTTACCCTAATACACATCATTAAACAATTCTGAGCTATGTTATACCCTGTGAATTTTTATAACAGCTAATATATCAGCAGACTAAATGCTGAAACTGTGAAAATCTGCAGCTTGTTAGAAATGCTTCTATTTGTACAATGTATCTAAAGGCCTCAAGATATTATGTAAAACCTGGATAATGCATGTTTCATTAATTCTTCCCCTTGTTACAACTTGGTATTAAAAACAGTGAAACAATTTAAAACAGTCCAATGCTCTTGCAAGTAGATATGAAGTTTTTAAAAATCAGCTGAACAGACAGTGAATGGTTTGGGGTCCATACTGCTCCCCAGTAATAAAAGTTTACTAAGATATGTTCTTACAACAGTAACAGACAAGATTAGAACAATCCAGGAAAGAGCTTAATAGGAACCTTGAAACATTTAAATCTCAACATCCTTCTAATGCCTGTACTTGTATCATGTTACTTAGGTACATGTTGCTTCTCCACTGAGCCATCAGAATAACATGGACTGAAGAGACTTGCGAACAGTTGCCATCTCCTGCTGTTGCTGTCACAAGAAAAGGAGATAATGCTGAACAAATGCTGTATCAATATGACTCCTTTGAATTAAATTAATGCCAAATATTTCATGTTAAATTGAATGTTCTGTTTCTGCATTTAACTAACTTCATAGATCTGATACTTACAGTGTCCATCATAATTTTCTTCTGCAACATCGCCATTTCCTTGCGAAGTTCATTTTGGGCACCAGCCAGAAGATTTTCATTGCTCTTCTCCAGCTCCTCCATGCTCTGAAGTTAAGGATAATATTAATTCAGAACTCCTCAGTGTCAAGGGGTTAATTAAAAACAACCAAACAAACCAATTGTTACTCATGCTACAATTTCATTTTTACAGTGATCACAGATAATTGATGAGTTTGTCACAAACTTGGCAGAGGAATCATACAGGACTTCATACTCCAGTCTGCATTCCTATTCAAACAGTATGTACTCTGAGAAGAAAATAGAACCCTCCAGTCAGCCTCTGTGAGGTCTCAGCTACTTATTCTGCATTTCAATTAAGATAATAGTTCTACAAGAGGAGATTGAAGAGACATATATCAGGAATTCCAGGGGTTGAATATTATGACCACCTTGCAGGACTTTAAGTGAGGAGTATAAACCCCACTACATTTCTTTGCACACTTCCCACCAAATAAGCCAAATAAAACTCCCTGGTTATCTTCCCTTTTTACATACAATTACATTTACCTCTGTGTATGTGTCTAGTTGCATTTTCCTTAATTTGTATTTATTTAAGCTTATTTGAGGCTTGACTTCTACCTTTTGATCTTCTTTGAGAAGAAAAATCAAAATAATACTTGACCTTCTGTTCAGTTTTTCCTCTTTGATGAAGACATTTTTGACATTTTGGAACATTTGTTATTTATTAATGCTTCTCTAATATGCTCAGTAAATTCTAACTATTTTAAACTAGGAGTTGCTTCATTTCAGTTTTATTTTTATCAACTACCAGGCTTGAAAAAAACCCAAACCAAACACCATGCTTATCATAACTGAAATTTCAAAACTAGCTGGGAAATTACTTGAGCTGAAATTAAGGTTTTTCAGAAACTGATAGACTTGAATTTGCCCCATATACTGGGGGCCATGCAGCTGGTGATGTCACATCTGGAGTGCTGGGTCCAGTTCAGAGTCCTGAGTAGAAGAGAGACACGGACATACAGGATAGAGCCCAGCAAAGGGTCATGAAGATGATTAAGGCATAGAAGATTTTTGCTTGTGAGGAAAGCCTTTAACTAAAAAAGTAAAATTTTTGTGTGGTTGTACTCAAACCAGTTTTGCTTCTTGTCTAGTATGTTAGTTACTTTGTTACAGAAATACCAAACAACTTAAAACACTGAATTAATAGAGCTTTAAATGATATGATAAAGATCAGCTGCCTTCCAAGAAAAAGATTTACCTTTAAGAATTGCTCGTAGAGTTGCTTAATGGTTTTCAGTCTCTGACTTTGAACTATTCTTGCCTGTTGAAAAACTTTTTGTTGCTGACGAAGCATATTCTGAAGCAGAAGCAAAAGAAAAACACAATTGCGTCAGTTGTTAATCAGAGTGCTTGGACAGCAGACCAGTGTCATTTTTCAGAATCAGAAATTCTGCCATCACTGGAAATCTTGTCATGTGGAT